TAACTGACTAAAAATTTTAAAATCCTTCCTTATCCCCCGCGCGATCGAACGTTCGCGCGATGTAGAATGCGTGCGCGAGTCCGGTTCCCCGCAAAATACCACGCGTTACGTGCGTGCGTGCGTAGAGGCGTAATTCTAAGTGCGTCACATTTCTTGGAACTTTGCCAAGAAAAAAAACTCCTTAGAGGACCTCCTTTCCTAGTCATTGGTTGACTGTTAACAACCATGGCTAAAAATAAAAATCGCTAAAGATTTTTTGTTACCCGATCCCCATTGCCATTGCACCTCCGTTATGTGCAGTAGCTCTTTTTATATAAAATCACGGTTGTTGTTATTTTTATTTGAATATTAGATGCAACCATTATTTTATGGGGGACAACGGGTCATAACTTGAGGGAGTTAACAGCCGTGATTTTTAAAATGCCTTGATCAATAAGAATCTAAGTTACAGGGAAACATTATTTTGATTTTTCAGTGGGCCAATAAATGCATTTGACGGGGAAATATAAAAACTCTACAACAGCAATTAAAACAGCTTACTGCATTATAAGTATCACTTCCCTGTCAAATTAGTGGTTCATACTTATTTGAATTCTATCACACCTTGCTAGGCTCAAACTTCCATCCAATCAGAGCATTCCAAATAAACTTGATTCCCCACAAATACTAGAGGGTGCTCTGACCAAAAAATTGCCATAATTTTAATTAAAAGAACTGATATATATATATATATATATATATATATATATATTAACAAAGACCAAGAACGAGATGATCGATAATTATTTGCATAATGATATAACCTCGTCGTTCGATTGATATTTACATCTGGGTAAAATATCTTGCGTGTATTTAATTTTTTTACTGTTTATTGTTTATTGTTTTAGCAAAATTATTAAGTTTGACTTGTGTTAGAATTGAGAATCCAGACTAACGGTATATAGGTGGTATTGTAAAACTTTATTCAAGATACGACTTTCATGGAGTCGATCCAGAATAAAGTCTCGAGACAGGACAAGGAGAGTTTTCAAGCCAAGTACGGGAGTTGTGCGCTTCAAGTGTCCAACACAAATTATATTAGGTACACCCACGTGACCAGATCCTACGTGTCACACTTTTCAAAGCGACCAATAAATTAAATAACACCTATGCATGCGCTATGCAGCAGGTTACAAGATAGACGATGACCGGATAAGGGACAACATCAAAAGCTCAATGTAGGATAAAAAAAAATTATTCCTTTAGTTTTTTTCCCAAATACCCCACTGAAACTTAAATGATAAATGTAGATAATGGCGTCAGACTACATTTAATTCACCATTAAAAAATTGATAATCGAACAGTAGTATGGCATAGCAGTTCTAGGTCCATGCCTTCATTTGACACACATATTTACACGAGGAACAAACAATTTTCTTGTCTTGGATATTTTTTTTCATTTTCTGTTAAATCTGTCCATGATTGGTTAAAAAAAAAAAAGTACAAATACTCCAAGATTGTTTGTGACTTCATTAAAAAATTAAATTGTTTTGCAGGATGGAAACATTTTGAGGTCACCCCCCAAACTCAAAGTAAATAAGTTTCTTCGATCTTTTGACGTCGTCCCTAAGTATGAATTGGATTGGCATAGCCACAAGAAAGAGGATTTAAGCCACATTTCACTCGTGCAGTTTGAAGACATTTAAAAGCCAAATATTGCGCTATTGAACTCTCAAGAAAACAGTATACGATGCGATGTGAACAAGAATAGAATGTGAAAATTTGCTTTCTCTCAATCTACAATAAAGGGGCAAAGTAAAACGCTATCAGTATTAAAAAAAAAAATCTTTTTTTTTTAAAATTAGGTGATGTGATTTTTCTTTGTTTAATCAGGTCTCCAAGATTCAACAAAAATCTTTCACATCCAAATAACTGCATTATGTTATGCCAATTGTCCACAATTCTGAGAAAACCACTGGTTAAATAATTCGTGCTGGTCATACGCCTCACACTAAATTGTCTCCATTGCATAATGATCGATGCCAAAGGATAATTGTTCATTATACTTAACATTTATTGTACATTTACAGTGTTTGTGTGATTAATTCAACACAAGCATACATGGTTTTCAATATCAAAATAGCATTTCATTGTAGCGTATTACGAATACTGAAGCACATTGCAAATGGGAGATGCTGTTGTCAGATGAGGGGCAATTCAACTGTGGTTTGAAGGAGCAAGTCTCATACCAGAAACAGGTATTGCAGAATACTCATATATTGTGTTTCTGAAATACCAATACCAAATGAAATACAGTAAATTGTTGAACAAGTCGATTGCTAAAGGGCTCCACAGATAGCAGCTGTTGATGACAATGTAACAGAGCCAGCGTTAATAGCATCTGTCATCACACTTTTAACTAATGTATGTCTTGCAATCTATGTATGAACACTATGATGTTGTGTAATGTATGCATGAATACCAAGATGTCTTGTAATGTATGCATGGATTAGCCCCGAGTACAGTCCTGTAGGTTGGCCTCCTTCCACTGATCATTCGGCCCCCACAGTCCTGAGAAGTTGCATATCCCGAGGATTCGCGACAGGGTGGGTGAAAGCTGTACAGTATTTGCTCCATCAACTTAAGTAACTGACAGAGGTGAATCTATGATCTTATTTTAATGATTCAGTATACAATAATTGCAATTTTCAGTTCATGTGCATGTCTAAATAATGCAGGTGTGTTTTTAACAGAACAAATATATTCAGGGTACAGGTTTAACGTGAATGAGATTGTAAATGATTTCGTTAATCAAAATAAATCTGTGAATAATGACATTTTAAAAACTGTATATGTTCATGCAATGTCAAACACTAAAGAAGAATTGTGTGTAGAACATACACGAGTAATAA